CTTCTCCATCCCTAAGTCACTAGCACAGTTTCTGGTGGGAGATCACTACATCTCTACCAAGTGACCACCTGTTCTTTTCCTCCTGGACAGACAGCTGGGCCCCTGCTCTCTTATGGGGCCTAGAAGGGTGGTATGCTGCAGCAATTTGAAATGTAAGTCCTTTCCAACTAGTCCACTAACCCTTTGAGAGTAGAGACCATGACTCAACATAGGGCCTGGTACTTGGTAATCACTGATAAATATTACTGAAATAAATAAATGGACTTTAAACAAAGTGAATCTGGGAGAGACACTAATATTACATATTAGTAGTATAGGAGATTTTTAGCTCAATGACCCCATTGTTGCTGACTCCACCGACAAGTAACCAGGAGTACATAGTCACATGAAGACATTTTTGATGTGGGTTTTGTTCTTCGGTTAAAAGAAGAGGTTAGGTCATTTGGAAGGCTTCCTTTTAGATCTCATCTGTGAATCTGAACACTGAATGAAGAATGAAGAAAACTATATTTGGAAAATTTTCATTTCAATAATTTATGAGAAATCTAATGATTTAATATCAGAATTAACCACAGAGATATTTGAGGTGCAGAAGGGATTACATCTGAGTAAGAGTTTCTAACTAGATTAGTGACAAGCCTGGCTGTTACCTTATTTTCCCACATTCAGAAATTTCTGCTTTAATTCTATTACAAAAGTGAGTGGTTATAGTAAGAAAAATAACTTAATAATTTAAAATGTACTACCTTAAGGACCCAAGTAGAAAGAGTTCTCACCTCTTGGCCCATTAGTGCAAACAGACTGACTTAAGAACAAGTGTTTAGACAACATTCCTTTTACTATGTGCATGCCACCACATTGGAGAAAAAGATCTCCACCTCTACATTTGGGAAGAGAGCTGCTCTGGGAACTTGGCCATAAAATACCCGGAAACTTCTTTAGGCAATCAACATTTATCAAAATTTGAAAATCACAGGCTCCCAACACCTAAAATTAGTTCTTAAATGGTATACTTATAGGTAATCTCTAAGGAGCACTCATGGTAGTAAAAAAGAGCACTGAATTTGGAGTCGATGTACCCAAGCTGAAGTCTAGCTGCGAGACTTGAGACTAACTGTTCAAACCTCTGAAGGCTCATTTTACCAACAGCCCCATTGTCCACTACTGTGATCCTCACGAGGCTCTTGCACCTAGCAGAGGGGCTGGCAGCTCCTCAGGCACTCAGAAAATGTCAATTTCTTTTCATCCTTTTTGGCTGATGATCTATTTATTGGGAGGGAAGCAAAATGTAATACGTTGAGGCTCTTGCACCTAGCAGAGGGGCTGGCAGCTCCTCAGGCACTCAGAAAATGTCAGTTTCTTTTCATCCTTTTTGGCTGATGATCTATTTATTGGGAGGGAAGCAAAATGTAATACGTGGTACTTATGGAATTCACAAAAGTTGGTAAGGCAAAAGTCATACCTATAAAAGATGCATAGCTATACATACCTGGGTAAGATAAATATCTAGAAATGGTATGATACATAGTGCTACGAGCATAGAGAAGAAAATAACCATCACGGGTGAGGGTAATAAGAGAAGACTTCCTGGAAGAGGAATTTGAGTCACAACTCTTGAGAATGGGTGGGAATTAGATAGACTGAGAGAAGTGGATAGGGCGGCCGAGCGAGATAGATAAAACAGAAGTACCTAAAGAATGTTCAGGGCAAAATCTGGTGATATGCACAGACTGGTCTTTCTGGAAAACTTTTTGCATATTGGAATAGCTAAACATAAGGCTTTTGGTAAATGGTAATGGGTCTTTAAATGCTGGGCTAAGGAATTGGTCTTTATCTTGTAAATAATGGAAAGCCAGTGGAGGTTTTTAAGCAGGAAAGGAGCACAGCCAAATAATATCATCTAGAAAGCTCCCAAGTATACAACGTTCACTCTAGTGTTATGAGCCATGCCACTGTGAAAAAAATCCCTTTCATTACACTAATACTTGGTAAATCACTGAAGACCTACTTCAGAACTCCAAGGAAAACATTTTATGAATCAAAAGCTAAGTACAATATGTTAGCAATTAAATGAGATAACATAATAGCCGAGGCAGAACCACAGTTTTCCCCACCATGATTTCAAGCTGCTGAAGAAAGAAATGCTTATATCATCTTCCAAGTTATCAAGCCATTTTGTTTTGATTTTCAGAAGGCGGGGAGAGAGGAAACCAGAAGAGGACGGAGGTCAAGGGGATTCAAAGCTGTCTATTCTTTAATCAGAAGACGTTATTAAGGAGAGTTAGAAAGGGGATTTGTTCAAAACAAAACCAGCCCTGGGGTGAGTCTCAAGTTACTGCAAGTCACTTCTCCTCCAGAACAACAAACGAAGGTGTGTAGTTGGGAACGAGAACTTTCTGCTGAAGTTTCCGGTGCATGCCTCCCACTGCTACTTTATTTACTGCAGCTGGCCAAAGTTTTATAGCCTGTTTCATGTATTAAAATTCAAATGTGGAAAACATTACCAGTATCCTCCTTGAATTTTTTTGTTGTTGGGGGGGTGGGGGGGGTTTCTTTTCTTCCCCTTAAACTTCCTTTTTATTGCGGAATGCATCAAATGGTCAAAGGCTAACTGCAGACTGACTAAATTCAAAAACTATTTCCTTTGTTCTTATGCTTTTGTTTTAAAATTCATACCAGTTTGCACAGGAAAGATATGCCAATCCAATGTCTTTCACACACATTAGCGTTTCAGGCTGGGGAGCTCAGATTGTGGGGACACGCTGAATGGTTTTCAAGAAGAAAGCAGAAAGACTGCAAAACCTCGTTTGGTTCAAAGGGCAGCAGGTTACTGTCAGGCCACGTCTCTGGGGTTATGCTATGATCTGGCTGGTGCTGTGGTTATCCTTGACTGAATGTTAAATGTCTTCAGGAGTGAACAGGAACTTCTCCTCATCAGCAGAACTGGCAGCTTCTGTATAGGTTTTTTTTTTTTTTTTTTTTTTTTTTTTTTAATATCAAATCAAAGAGGTTTCTGTGTGATACTGGCTAATTGTTTCCTTTCTTCCATTGTTCTATTCCATTTTCTTCCTTCCCCCTCCACCTGGGTCAGTCCAACTTCCCATCTCCAAACATAATTCTAGTCCTTTTCTCCCCATCGCACCTTAGAATCAGACTCAAAGAGAAGGCAATTCAAAGGTCAAATAGTTCCAAAATGCATCGATGTATACTCCGAGATTTTAAAGAACCACTTAACCTACTTCTGGTATTTAAGAACAAACCTCACATGTGTACAGAAAAAGACCATCTCTGCAGCAATGCCCTGGGTGCATGTAAGCATCGGTTTAACATATGCAAAACGAACACAGCTACAGAAATTACACTATTTTTCTCTTGATTGAGAGCAGATATACAGAAATGGTTATAAGTCACAGATCTGGCTTTTAATAAAGCCAGATTTCTTAATTAAAAGCAGTATTGTTTAAACATTGTAGTTAAAAAAAGAGCTGTACAAACAAAAATCTCATATTATATGCATCCCAAGTGTATTTAACACATTACCTGAGGCCAAGCTAAATTAAAATCTAGACTTTCCTTTTGTAAACTCTTAGCAACTGCCATGAACAGACAAACAGTTTTTACTCAATGATGAATTTTTAGGGTAGAGGTCAAGGAAAGGAAAAAAAAATAAAAAGATTTAGCTTTGGCATTCAAAAATATCTTTCCACATTTTAGAAGTGAGTTCATTGCTTCTATTTATAAACCAGTATTTTTGGTTTCAAATTGGTTGCAGGTTTCAATATTATACCATTCAGAATGGTGTTCTTAATCTTAGTCTTTTATTAAGAGAAACTGAAAGGAGGACAGAAGAACACTATTCGGCTAGAACTTAAAGAACCTCATAATAACTTGAAATTATTCTGCATTTCCTTCTGGAACCATCAACAAGAGATGCTACAGGGATAATGAAAAATAGACTTTTGGTCAAGCAACTTTTAAAGAGCCTATAAAGGACAAAACAGGACACTAAGGTGTTTAGTGACCAGGCAGGAGTTTGTAGGGAGCTGAACTACACAGAATCACAAGTTAAATTCTCCACCCATTTGGTCACCTCATTGTCATTATTTAATATTGTGTTAAGAAGATGCTCTGAATCTTTGTAATTATCCAAAAAAAGGATGCTCTCCGAGATTCCTTTCAAAGTAATGAGCAAAATTGGAATTCTAATTGTAATATGGACAAATCTGCTTAAATATTACTCAAATAAAGACTTATTCGTAAATAAGTAGTGGTAAAACTGCTCTATACACAGTCCCACAGAATAAATTTACACAGATAAATACAGCATATTTTTCTACCTTCCATACTGAGATTGAAAGATGCTATTTTGGCTCCTTTAATAAAACAAACAAACAAACAACCCATTCATATTTGAAACACCAGCAATGTAAAATGAACTTAAGTTGTGTTCTTTGGCCAATGTCACCAAGACGAATAACTAAAAACACCAGCAATGACCCAGCAGTTCACTCCTAATGGAAACATGTGCCCAACAAACACCTGTACCTGAATATTTACAGGAGCACTATTCATAATAGCTAAAGAGCGGAAACAACCCAAATGTCCATCACCTGATGAATGGATAAATATTACATGGAATGTCCATATAATGGAACATTACTTGACAATAAAAATGAAGCTCTAATAGTGTTAAAACATAAACTTTGAAAAGATTATGCTAAGTGAAAGAAGCCGGTCAGAAGAGACCACCATATATTGTATAATTCCATTTATATGAAACATCCATAGAGACAGAAAGTAGATTAGCGGTTGCCAGGGCCTGGGGAGTGGGGGGTGGAGAATGACTGCTTAATGTGTATGGAGGTTTTTATTTTTTGTAGGGAGTACAAATGTTCTAAAACTAGATGTGGCGATGGTTACAAAACCCTGTGCAACAGTATTTATACCTGAAATTCTAATTCTATATAATAACTATAGAGTCTACAAATTTCAACACTTACCATGAGCGAATGTCTGTTGGCTGAAAGAAGGCCAGTTCCATACCCTGAGCCCAGACCACCCATTGCTCCATTATGAGAAGGTCCAATGATTCCATGCATGTCTCCGTGGCCACCAGGCATGGCTGTGGATGGGCCGACTGCATGATTCCGGAGAACATGAATAGCATCATCCAGTCTTTCTAAACGATCTTCAATTCGGCTTTGCTGTTGGGTTAATAAATGACGTGAAATGTGATTTAGTTTGAAACGCATAGGTTTCAAACAAATAGGTTATACTGTATAAGTAAACTTTAGTTGACATAAACCACACTTTTGGCTTTGTGACTATGTTTCCAATAAAGTATATTTCCTTAAAACAATAATAAAAATAGTGTCTTTCCTAGAAAACTGGTGGAAAACGTTAATGTTAAAATTATAGTGTTATTTTTCATGAGCAAAGTAAATCCAATAATTCTTCCAGGACATTATAATATACATATGCTATATAGTACTGCATTAACTTTAAAAATAATTTAGATTTACTTTAGAAGAGAAAAACATTAATTAAGTTAAGGAACATTCTGGCAGGGATTGGTTAATGAATTAAAAAAATTAACAGTGGAAAGATGACCTATATATAGTTTCCCAATTAAATTATCTTCTTGAAGGTAAATTTTTTTGGCCTCCCTGTGGCCTATGGCATAGCGCTAAGTATTGAGTCAGAGACAAGTAAAAGCAGACAGATTATAATTTCTTGTTGAGTTCTTATTTGTGTATCTTGCTTTCTATTATTACCAATCCCAGCTTATGCATGTTTATTGTGTGTATGTAAGGGCCTCAAAATGGTTACGGAAAAAAATTACAAAAATTTGGTCAACCAAAGTGGTATGAGATTTCAAGACTGAAGAATCACAAAGATTTGAATCAACTGTTCCCTGAAGGCTTCTAATTGATTTCAAAGCCCCTACTGTAATACAGAATTCACTACCTTCTATGATTAAAAACCAACCAACCTTTTTGCATCCAAACCATTAGGATTCTAGTTTTCTGCAGCTAGATAAGGCCTATACTATAGTTTTCAATTAAAAAAAGGACACGTGGACATCATGTAAATGTGTATTCTTTTTTTATTGTGATCAATAATGGTATCAAATACCACTCTCCAGTGTGCACTTTAAAATATACCATCTCATTGGATCTTCATTCCACGTGTGTGCGGCAGGCAGGGAAGACATTATTACCTCTTCCATACAGATGTGAAAATGAGGCTCAAAGAAATTAGTGAATTAATTACTCATTGTTACACTACCAGGAAATGGTAAAGTCAGGCTTGGAATTCAGGTCTTTTAAATCCAGTGCCTCTTTGTACTAGATCACGCTACGGTCTACTTTGATTTCTAATGGGCTGCCCAAACAGATGTACCGGCTCTACTACAAGAGGAAAACAATTTCTAATTATTCTATACTGACTGGAAGAATGTGTGTCTAATAGGGTTAGTCTATGGTACAGAGCATTTTGATCTGGTGAATTCTGGAGTTAAACGACTTCCCCATGACTGCTAGCTCTGCTACTTATTTGAACTTGGAGAAGTTACTAAACTTCTTTTGAGTCTATGCTTTTTAGTGTATAAAAATGAGAAAGATAATATATACTTCTAAGTGCAAATGTAAGCACGAGAAGTCATATGTGCGCCTATCACACTTTCTGGCTCACAGCCTTCAGGTGGAGAGAGCAGTTTCTGCTTATGGATCCTCTCTTCAGTGTTCAGAATTTGTAGAGAATTGAAGCTGTAGCCCATGACTATAAACCTAGTCTTTACAGTTCTGTAGTTGGACAAAGCCTGGTTTTGATAAATGGGCCCCAGAGAATGACTCTGCATTATCGGGTGTGGTCTGCAGAGGAATTGGGCTGGGTGCTGTTGGGCATGTTGTTTCACTGCGTGGGTGCCTTTACTGGCTAAGACCCACACCTGGCTGGTCCATACAACACAGTAAGGAAGAGCACAACGAAGGAGAAAAACCCACCTTTGTATTTTCATTTTTAGATTTTCTTTAATTTGAAGCATAAGCGGAAGAAGAAAGGAAAGGGAAGAAAGGAAACTCTGACCCACTAACAAGACAACATAAAATTAGACAGATAAATCTATGACTTCTTCCATGTTTCATCTCAAAATATGGAGGCAAAAAGGAAAACTCAACGCTGAAGGACTAAGACTCCTCACACTCACTGCTACCCCTGCATCTGATTCAATCAAGCACTAAATACCACAAAGACCAGGGTTGTTTTATGCAGAGATCCAGCCCCATCCACCACGAGACGAGAAAGACAAAAGTGTCAGACACTGAATCATGTGAACATTTATAATATTCGTTATGCCTATGGAAACTTTCAGCTATTCCCTCCTAGAAGAGTACGCATTTCTTTACTATTAATCATATTGATTTCTTTTTTTTTTCTTTTTTTTTTTCGTGACCGGCAATGGATCGCAACCCTCAGTGTCGCGCCTGGACCGGACCGGGACCGGCAACGGGATCGCAACCCTTGGTGTTGCTCCCGCACCACGCTCAGCCAGTGAGCGGCCGGTCTGTATGTGGGATCCGAACCCTCGGCGGGAGCACCGCCGCGCTCCCAAGCGGCGCACTGTAGCAGTGCGCCACCGGGCCGGCCCTAATCATATTGATTTCTATGAGAACCAAAGTGAACGAGGAAATAAACATCAGGTTTCTTGTAGTGGACTGAATTATGTCCCCCCAAAACTCACTGAAGATTGAACTGTGTCCCCCAAGTTTATGTATTAGAATCTTAGCCCCCACTGTGACTGTTAAGAGGGTGGGAAATCCTATTATGGTAATTGAAAGGTGAAGACTTAAAGAGGTGACTGGATTGTAGGACTGTGCAGTAGTGAATGGATTAAAAATGGTGGTCAGGGGTGTGTTCTGAGAGCTTCAAAAAAAGAGGAGAGTCTGCCTTTCTCTCTGCTCTCTCTGCTTCCACCATCTTGCACTGTGAGACCCCTGGGTCACTGTCATCCCCACCAGATGGACTTTGGACTTCTCAGCCTCAGAAACTGTAAGCAATAAATGTCATTTTTTCTTTATAAATTACCCAGTTCCGTGTATTCTGTTATAAGCATCACAAACGGACTAACACATTTCTTATTCAGAGATCAATAGGACACCCCCTATCAACCTGTTATTCCAGGAAGCAAAGCAGAGGTGTATAGAATCTTCAAGTGTTCAGCTATGGTGCTTAGCTGGAGCTCCAGCACTCTAATGTCAGCAAAGTTATTTAATCGTTGACAGGGATCTTTCCCAAAGATGGGGAGGAGGCCATTACACTTACAGGATTTTTAATCTTTTATCTGGTTCTAGATTATTTCAAGCCCGGGGGTTTCCACTATGGTCGTATCTGGGCTACCATCTATAAACAAGAACAAGCATAGTCTAGTAACTCTGGCTCCACCCACACATATGTGTTGAATGTTGACCTCAAGTTAGTGTTAGAGAAAATAAGAATCTGGGAGAGTAGACACAAAAAGAAAAACATAATGTGAAAATGGCTAGAGCAGAGATCAGCCGATGAGACATACCAAGGAGTGCAAGGGTCCTTCATAATTAGGGGATGATGAGGCCTGTCCTCCATTTCTGGACCATACAGCTGTGCCTGCTGATAATAAAATGGGAATTACCATTAGTTTGATATAACTTAAAAATAAACTCACCAATATTTTAAACAGCCCTTTTAGAAATAGCAACGCTGAGTTTTCATTTAAACAATAAGGTAAATACAGGTAAACTTCCCACATAAGAATTCTGGGGCAAGGAAGCCATTTTAACTGTGAAATATGTAAACTTCACATAGACTCACAATTCCCTCAGGCTGCATCTTGAAAGGGAACATTTAATTGATTCTGAATTGTAGCTAGAAGGGTTCCTGCTGAAGGAAAACCATCACTATAGAGTCAGGTACTTTTTAGAATCCAAAAGGGGGTGGGGGTGGGGAGGTAGGTTGTTAGACATTTATGCAAGACCAGTTATGCTCAACCAAAATTCACTCACCAGTGGAAAATGGCTTTGCTACTTGGTTAAAAAATGATCTTCAGGAAGAGATAACCCTTCAGAAACTTTTTAAGGGAATAAAATTAGTTGGCAGCCATCCACTAAACTAGGAATTGAAAAACTCAACAGGACAGTCACCACTAAGTAGTCTATCCCAAAGAAAATTTTTCTGATTCACTAAACTTGAAGGTAAAGAAAGATTTCTGTTAGAATACATATTACATGTCTAACCTACAAAATAAAAACCACTTCTAAATTTAGAATAGAAAACTTAGAAAATACATAATTCAAAAAAGGAAAAAAAATAAATAGCTATGATCTCACTGAAATCTCATGCCCCGACACTGTTAGCACTTTTAAAATCCATTCTTCCTGTCTTTTCTGGGTGTCCATGTGTATTTTTATGCTAAATAAAAATAGAATATTTTGTTCAATTACTTTTCTTGATAGAATTTGGACAGAGCCGTTGGTGTGAAAATAGCAATCTGTCCCCATATTTTCATCTTCATAAAAGTTCTTTCTTCCTAACACTTGGTCTTCCATGATGCATTCCCAGGACCCACAAAGTGACATCTCTAGCCTTGTTTCTGTGCCTTCCACCTAGAGCATGCTGCCCAGGTTGAGGTCAATGCTGGCATTTTCCTGAGTGACTATGCCCCCTAACTTTCCTCTCCCATCATTCACCTAGAAGTGGGGTGGCAAAATGTGAGTCCCAGGTTCTCGTCCATGCTCAGCCAGGACTACTGGCATAACCTCAGCAAGTCACACACCCTTTCTGGGCCTAAGGACAGTCAACTGTAAAATCAGGACATTAGACTACGTTAGGTGTTTTCACACTTTATTAGAACAGAGAACTTCCCACCTGCCCTGAATTAGAACACAGATGGAATTAGAGCTGCTTTGTCTGAAATGGAGAGCTCAGAGTCCCACCTGCTTAGACTCTCTATCCCTTGTTGTCTCACGTCCTTTGTACCGAATCTTCCCCTGATTCGGACACTGACACTTGAGACCATTTTTCAGAGCCTACGAGTCAGGTACTGAACCAGAAGAATACAACAAAACTGAACTTTACTTCCATTTCTGCTGCAGGGAATGTTTCAATATTCTCTTAAAAACATCTCTTTTTCTTCCTAGTTTCATCTTGGTCTCTCTGGACATATGGACTTCAGTATCGCTATCCCTCCTCTCTCTATTCTGTGACCCTCCCATATCATGGAGGTTTAGAAAAGACTGATATTAAATCTCATCTAAGTCATGGCCATCACTTCCGAAAGTTTGCGGCAAGCTGAAACCTCCCGTTCTCTATCAGGGAACCCAGTTTATGACAAGCCATGCGAGTACCGCATGCAGGGAATAACATGCGGTCCAAGGAGGCACCATGTGGGCAAGTGACTCCATTGTAAATTACAGTAAGGTCAGGTTTCAATCAGGTACAGATGTGATTTGGCTTTTTTTAGAAGCCACCTGTCCTCCTTCTAAAGAGCAGAGACATGCGCCAGGCAAGGCTTTCTGGAAGCATCTATATTAAAAGGGCAAGAAGTCTCTTAAATGGACCTCTGAAAAGTGAAATGATTTACTGACATAATTCTACAACTTATATTTATTCAACTTGAAGCCATGGGTTATGATAATTTATTGTATTTTAAAGCAAACATCCCCTTTACTCCACATAATTTTCATAATTTATTTAGAACATTATAGTTCTCCCCAAACATTCCAATGGCCTGTACTTTAAAGAGGGAATTTGGAAAGCCTAAAATTTCTGCAGGAAATGATTTGTTTAAATAGTCTATATTTGATGACTATATAGTCTATATTCATATTCATGACTACATTAACTGAGTTTTTTCATCTAAGATGTTTTATTGGAATATATTATTCTGCTGTTGGGTGTCTTCTGCACAGCTAAGTTTGAGATATATGTTTCCATATGCCTGTATATTCTAAAAAGATCATCTAATTTTTTTTTTTGTCTTTTTTTTTCGTGTCCGGCAATGGATCGCAACCCTCAGTGTCGCGCCCGTACCGGACAGGGACCGGCAACGGGATTGCAGCCCTCGGTGTTGCGCCCGCACCTCGCTCAGCCAGTGAGCGGGAACCGGTCTGTATGTGGGATCCGAACCCTCGGCGGGAGTGCCACCGCACTCCCAAGCGGTGCACTGTAGCAGTGCGCCACCTGGCCGGCCCAAGATCATCTAATTTTTAAGAAAAGGTTTGGATGTAAATGACTGTTCCATCATATGGTAATCTGTCTCTCCCAACCCTATTAGTCTATACAGGAATGTTATGCTTTTGGATTTGGGGGTGAGTGAGATTCCATCTCCTATAGCATGAAGGATAAGGGGGAAATCATCCTTACAAACTGCTACTATGATGCAATGGGGTTTATTAATTATTACTATTATTATTATTATTATTTTTTTTTTTACAGTACCTGAGAGAGAAGGCGGAGAGCCAACAGGAGTTGAAGGGTTTGATGAAAAGCTGTTGTTAGTGTGATCTGGAGAATAGATCTTAAAACAGTGGGGAGAAAAAATAAACCCTCATTCATTAGGAGTGAACAATTAACAATTTTTTAAACTACAATGTTGTCAGCGCAATTCATTTAAAACTTACAAATAACAAAACACATGTAACAACTATAGCATCAACATCCTAAAATAAAAAAATTAGAAATTACTTTAATTTTTCAAAAGAAGAATTACTGAGATGGTATAGCATGACGGGAAAAGAACTGGGTTGGGGTCAGCAGACTTCAATTTTTATCCTTTTCCTACCAATAACTGGTGTGTGGCTTATGGGCAGCCCAAGCAGACACTCCCAACTTCCTTCTCTTCATCCACAAAACAAGAGGCCGGACAGTATTATTACTAAGATTTTTTCCTATTCCTTTACTATGATTGAGGGTTTGATTCCATGGCTTGAGAAGGCCCAGATTAAATACAAACTTTTACTCAGGGCACAATGCTAACATAAGTCAAACTTATTTTATGCTCCAAATGGCATGGAAAAACCAACTGAAGAGACAAAGTCTTATAGAAACAAATCTCCCCTCATGTTTGTAAATGACCGTGTTTAGCTTTTGAAGAACATACCGGATATACTTTCCCAGACAAATAAGGTATGCCATTTTGTCACTAGGGAACGTGAAAGAAATATTTAACTCTAGCTTCCTGCCAGTGGGTGGGAAAAGCAGAGAGGCCAATTATGTGACAATTCCTCATGGACCTCACATATGCCTCATTTATTTATTATTATGTATTTATTATTATTTATTCCTCCGGAACCTCAGTTATTGTCATTTTTTGTTTTTGGAGTGTTTTAGAACTATCCCTTGCATGGTTAGTCTTAGCCGGTCAATATGACTTTAGAGGAAAATAAGAAATTACGATTGAAAATCTATAAACCTAAAGGCCCAGAGACAATCCCCAGGTCCATAACCGGGTGTGGCTCAGAACCTCTGTGAGAAGTCACAGTGGAGGAGATCATCAAAGCTTTCTCGAACTTTCCAATGATCCTTAGGCAAGAAAGCTAACATTTTCCAAAAATCAAAGCTATTTGCCATTCATTTTCTAAAATTCCAAATGTCCACTTCTGATTAAAGTTCACCCTTCTACCATGGCACATGCGGAGTCCAAAGTCAATATTTCCTCACCGAAGCAAGCGCTTTGCCCAGGGCATCTCCAGTCTGGGAGCTGCCTGCTGCCCCGCTTCCTCTATTTGCTGCAAAAACAAAGGCAGAATATGAAAACCAGGCAGTGAGACGTCTAACCATTTTCTATTCCTGGTCCATTTACTCACAATTTAATTGCATTTTTAATGCTAATTACAACACATTAATCTTTAATTAGCATTAATTTGTTTGCTGAGGTAGATGTCAAATATATTCATGTTACATTTTTTACAGATAAAATATAAACCTGACATCTTGGTTTAAAGATAAAGTGTTTTAGTTGCTACTACTTCTCCCACTTGTCACTTATGAGGAGTTTGGTGGTGAACAGTGGCAAACGGGCACATGACAGTCATCGCCAAGTATGTAGTGCTTTCAGGTCCCAAAGTTAGGCTTTTCTTTATATTTTTATATTGCAAATTGAATTATCTTCACGAATAATATATATCTGTTTTCAAATAAACAAAAGTTAGATACATAGCAAAATGGGGTGGGCCTCTCAGAGTTTCACAGTAAACTAAACAAAAACTCTATAACAGGTCTGGCTAACTAGGAGAGAAAATATTTTCAATAGCATATATTCTGCACATATTTAAGTCTGTGTTCACACTAAAAAAATGTGAACTGTTATTGCTACTAAAAGTCAATATGGTCTCAACTCCAGTGATAAAATAAGTCTACATATTCATTAAGTTTATCTCTACCACCTGAAATACTAGCATTTTTATTTATTTATTTTTTAATTTACCAATATACAATGCAGTTGATCTTCGTGTCCCTTTACCAACTTTTCTTTTTTCCCCCTTTTCTCCCCTGTCTCCCCCACAAATACTAGTACTTTTATCCACAAGATAGATGAAAAAAGAGTATTGTTAACAAAAGACATATATTCCAGTATATAATTCAGAGCCACCTCTATTTTTAACACATATCTTTTGAAGGTGACTTGCCTTCATAAGTGCTCAGTGATATAGCCAGTGCTCTTCTGAGGTCTTCAGTATTCATACAACTTCTAGAACTTTGGGTATGTTGCAATTCTTAAGGCCTCAACATCAGCAAATAGACACATATTTAAATATTTAAATAAAACCTACCAAAGTTCCAGGGGAAGATGTTTTTGTGAAATAAGAAAAGGAAATCTTGAATCAAGTGACAAATCCAAGCACATTCAAGTAATTCAAAATATTTTCCAGCGCTTTTCTTGAATCAAGAGAGCCCTCTTTCTGGCAAAGGTGCTACCATCAATTTCCAAAGATCTATAAAATGCTGGGCTGGAGTAAGATCTCCAGTAGTCAAATTCTCTACTTCTTCAGGTCTTAATTTCATGCTCCTGACCTCTGCTTAGCATAGTTAAATTATGCTTGTTATTTTTATATATTTATATGTTGGGCATGTCAGTTAGATAATCTTTTGATATATCTTTATTTGGTTCACAAAACCCACACCCACATTCACTTGTTAATTACTAATTACTGAAAGGAAAAACTGGTATATGATAAAAGAATACAAGGTTATTTTTATATATTTATATGTTGGGCATGTCAGTTAGATAATCTTTTGATATATCTTTATTTGGTTCACAAAACCCACACCTACATTCACTTGTTAATTACTAATTACTGAAAGGAAAAACTGGTATATGATAAAAGAATACAACTCCCTTCTGAAAAACAAACCTCTTCTTTTTTCTATGACAAATTTATGATATTAAAAATACATGAGTTATTAGCACTAAAGATTATATGTATAAGCAAATTCTTTGAAACGAGGGTCTGACATCATACCATTAGGTTAGTGGAAGCAACTCAGAAAGATATCAAGAGTATTAAAAAATGTTTAATATAAGATAAAAGATAACTAGAATTACATCTAGCATAAAAATGAAGAAAATTTCTGCATTAAGAAGCTCTTTAAAAACTAAAGACAATTCTAAAGAGAAAATAATAAAGATCTGAAAATACAGAAGGCACTATCATTTTTTCAGCTTGCCTTTAACATGGTACTTAGGGGGGAGCAATTATCTTTTTTATTTTAGAAACAATATTATATTTTCATTGTTATGTACCTAAAAATTAAATTTAAGCAGTCAAAATAATTTGTGATATCTGTTTTATTTAAATACAGGTATTCATGAAATGAAAGTTTAGAGCCATGCTGGGGGAAAAAAAAATCATATTATCTAACAAAGAACCTAAACCAAAAAAGAACAAGATATTGTTCCAATTACAGATAAAATTTGCTACCGTAGTAGCTTTCAAAAGATTAAGTCCTCTCTTGAACAACTTTAAAATGAAGATTATAAATTTAAAACGTATATATATCCTCATGCAACCAAACAGGAAAGAATTAAAAACTAATAAAAATATTTTAGGAACATTAAAAAATGAATTATAAATAGCATAAAATCACACTTCAGAAAAGATAAAATATGATCATTATGATTTCTTTAGTGCTCCACCTTTTTAATAAGACTTTCTATTAGTGCCTGTTTTAAGCAAGGAGCGATTAAAACTCAGGAAGAATAAAAAGAATCAATTCCTTACCTCATCTTGTCATAAAAACCTTTCAGAAAACTACAAAGGCTACTCATGGAAGCCACTGATAAGAACAGACTATTTTTTTAACATGAAGCCATTTTACCTTGCAACAACTGGAGAACCAAACCCAAGGGCTTAAATTTCAAAGCAGTTTATTGGGGCCAGTTTGCTTTCACTTGGAATGCCTTTTGTTCTGTTCCAGGAAACACTGGAGAAGACACATTTTCAAGATTCCCTGAACATGTTAAGCTGCATGGGTCCTTCTCTTAAAGATTTATCTTCTTATTTGTGTGACTGATATATCAAAGGGCATAAATAACCAGAAAGTAAATATATTTTTAATCCTCCACTGGCATGCCTTTGCTTTTTGTTTTGTTTTGTTTTGTTTGCACTGTGAAGTGGGTCGTGTTTGGCAAAACATAACAAATCCACCTTTTCGGATTTAATGGAACACGGCTTGATTATTATTCTAGGCCCAAGTTTTTGTCAACTCATATTATTAGAAATTACTAAAATGCCCATGTAACAAAAATAATGATGAAAACTACTGCCTTTATTTGGTAAACACTGTATTGATTTCTTAAGTTATTTTGGCTCTAATCAATTTCTCTTGCCCAAGAGAAAAAATAATCAGTCTCTAAGTAGAGCTGTAACATAAATGTGAATGGAAGATGAGCGGTTATTAAGAGGAACTATAATTTTGTAGGAGGCTCCAACACCACCAGCCACCCGGTATTGTTCAGAGAGTGGAACACAGGTGCTGGTGCTGGCTAGAAGACGAAGCACCAAGAAAGACTCGGTATCTCAGGCTACTTGTTGGGCCATCCTCTGTCCCAGTCTCAGCTTTGGGGAAATGGCAATTCCCATTAGAACACACCCAAAACGACATACCAGGATGAGTGGTGCCTGGAGATTAATTACTGAAAACCAAAATTTGGAAAAGGTGTTACCCCCTTTACTGCCCACCCATAACCTCAGGTTAAGAACATGAAGACATCAAAGTCCTTACCAGTTGTGAATGCCCAGGAGTAGGTTGGTTTGAACTGTGACCTACTTGCTATACTCCCCAGGTTGCAAATTATCAAAGTATCACCAGCAGCTGAGTACTGGAGCCAGGAGCATTGTCCTTCCGTGAGCTTTTAAGAACTGTGTGCTGGAGTGCAGAGTTAGTGCTGGCAGCAGCACCAGCTTAGCCCAAGAGAAGGCTGTATCACCAGAGGCTGGTCAGTCTGAAGGACCAGTGGCCACCATCAATTTGGATTCTGCAAACCTAAATGGCTTCAACATTTTGTGTAGAAATGGCTATATCAGAGAAACGATTAACACAACCTAGAGATGTTTCTGGCAATCTTTTCCTACAACATTCATTAAAGTCCTGAGTTTTCTAGCACGTCCCTCGCTAACCTGCTCAACAGGAGCTTCTATACCCCTTTATAAATTAACTTTTTAAATTGGTTGTTGTAATATTGGGGGGCTGAGTTCTTTAAGCTGGAAACTGTTCATTTCTCCTGAAAATAATGCCTTCATGCAGTTACCATGAGCTAATACTGTAATAAAGAACTGTTTTGAATTGGTTCTTTAAAAAAAAAAAAAAAAAAAAAAAAAAAAAAAAGGGAAGTGTGATTCATCGTGTGTTTGCCTGAAAGAAGATGACTGCTTTAACATTAGGTTTTTCTGAGCTGTGTCTGAGTGACCCTCATGTTATTAAACTATTAGAAGCAGCATAACGATGCCATGAGCTTGTGTATAAAGATGACAAAAAAAAAAAAAAAAGAGAGAACATTGGCCACATTCCTACTATAGCAATTATAGAATAAAAAGTCAAATACAGGCTACAATGCATTAATTTTTAGCAGGAGGGATTTCTAGGGATTCAGGGGGGGAAGCTGAACCTATGACCACGTGCAGGAAATGAAGGAGAAGATTTAAATCAAAATCGAACTAGTTGTTGGTCTCCATTGGTGGTCTTTGGAATTAAGATGCCCTGACACTGCTGGACAAAAAGCTGTATTACTCGTACACTCTGTGCCTGTTCGTCACCCTACTGTATCGGAAGGCTCAAAATTCCTGTGAAATACAAAGTAAATATTATGTGACTACTCTAATAATAAAATTACTGTGAAACCAAGTCCTCAAGGGGAAAAGGACATAATGTTTCTACTAGAAAAGCCACATACTAAAATGCATCATGTCATACAAACATGTCATTAGAAGTGAAAGTTGTAAGCCAGATTAATTCATGAACCAAATAGATATTCCAGGGTAATCTTTAGCATATGGTGCATTAAATCAATCTTGGTAGTCTGTCCCTTCAACACTGTTTGGTTTGAGGTTTAAAAACATGGGAAATACCATGCATTAGAAAGCAGGCCAGTAAAAGACTAATAAAACAATAATAGTTATTATAACCATTATGTTGTAGTTATAGGCCCAATTCCCTCTGAGGGGAAGGGAGGGTGTGTAGCCCCAAACCACAAGGGGTCAGCCCCTGTGAATGTCTGCAGATGGCATCTCCCAGTGGGTTGTCAGGGCCTCCCACCCTTGAGTAGTCTCAGTGGGCTGTGCTCTGGCAGGGCGGTCCTCTCACTCCTCTGTATTTATATAAATTAATACAGGCCAGTTCCTCTAAAAAGTTAAATTACCTTGTCTACTTACTTCCTAAAAGATTATGACGCTTTTTTACATTCCGCTAGTGGATTTTGACAAATATACCCATTACTGTGAAATAATTTGTGTAATAAGTGTCCTAAGAAGACTTTTCTAGGTTCCAAAAATCTTATACTTTTCCCTTTTTAAATGAGAGCTTCTTTAATATTGTCTAGACCTTTAAACAGGGCCCTGCAGTCTATAACATGTTCAGCCCAACCTTAGCATGCAGCTGAGCCCCTAGTATGTAGATATCAACCACTGTTCCACTCTGCCCAGACCAAATGAGTGCTCTCTCCTGTTCATCCACAAGCTAAAGATGAGATGACCAGCTTCAACCAACCACACCTCATTCCCACTGAGACTTGTGGCTATGCTGCCCACAGCTCACAGAGGAATGGTTATGCTGTCTCGTAATATCTCTTTCCTCCCCCGTCATAGTGTCTCTCTCCCAGGAAGACTGACCTGCAAACCAATTGACAAGACTTTTTTTCAAACAGTGCCTTAATATGTTTTCCTCAACTCAAGATTTTGTTCTACCTTCATGCCTTCCTAAAAAAAGAAAATTACTTAAACCACAAGCAGACAGGAAATCTGTCATATAAGAGGATGAATGACCGGTCATCCTTCTTTATAACCAGACCTCATGACTGCAGAAAGGGGCTTTCCATTTGTCAAACCACACTGAAGTGAAATATGCTTTTCTCAGTCTTTCAGTTCTGCACTGCTTGCTTTCTTCTTGTTTTTCAAATTTGCCAGAACTGCATTGATAGTTCAAAACTTCCCCATGTGGCCTCTGTCCATAGCTCTTCAAGGTCAAACTGATGCAACACATTTGTAGAAGCTTTGTTAGGAAAAGGTACAAAAATGGGGACTCTTTTCTAAATTTGCTTCTTTGTGACATGACAGTGAAAAGCTGCTAAGTAGCTCATGTCAAGTGTAAAATTTATTATTGAATAAGCAAGGAGAGCATTATTGAGGCAGAAATTATGTTTGCAACATTTCAAAACACATCTTCTCCCTCATCAAAAACTCTCCCATTTAGTGATTCATACCACTTCCCAAAGTTCTATAGGCTATCTAAAGAAAAAGACAAAAACTGAAAAAGCTAAGAAGAATAAATGGCAGCATTATTCTGACCCCCAATCTTCTCTCATAAACGCACACTGAGGGTTCTCATCACTGACCCTCTGGAGTGATCTGAAGGTCCAGCACGGGGTGGGTTTGAGCTAGACCTTGGGTGGGAGGTGACTGTGAAGTCAGGTTTCAGTAAGACCCCGGAGCATTAAGCTGTGCTCCTCCTCCAAAAGACAGGCTGTCAAGGCAGAATCAGAAGGGGGTAGCTGCCTCCCACCAATCCTCCCTCTTTCCTCCAGGGTGGCTGGATGTCCCAGGCTGGTGGGGAAACCATCTGTCTTAGGAGAGGACCACAATGGACATCACAAAAATGAGAGGATGGTGGCTCAGTTCACCTGGCAGCAGCTTCTCTCTGGGTCTTGTTAGTAAATCTGCTCAGTAAAAAAAGCAGCGATTAAGTTCTGGCCCATTGATGCCCAGACACCATCTCTCTCCTAAGTGAGCAAACACTTCTTCCCCTTGGAAGGATTCTACAGTGCCAGTCTCCAGAAGGTCGAGCTCATCTAGTTATTAGGAGTCACCTGAGAATCTCACATAAACTAGTCTTCAGAAGACAGCAGCATGTCATGGTTCAGAGCTTAGCACAGTGGCTGGAATTTGGGAAGTGATCGGCAACTACTATTAAGACCTGCTATGCCCCTATCTCACTAGTCTTCAATGACTTGTCTTATGAAAAGTTCACTTTGATCACTGTTTGAGAGTGTGAGAAACAAAGAAATTTGGGTTTATCCAAACCTTTGGTCAATCTAATGACTCACATGAACAAAGTAGCCAAGTTTCAGTGTCCTGCAACATAAAAAGTGATTACGGTTCAAGCCAGTGATGATTTCTGTTTGGGTCATTTGTTTGTTCATTCGGTTATGTGACAAATATTTAATGCCTAATTGCTGTTCAGTTATGAAGGAAAAAGAGGTCCTTCATTATTAAAGCCTGACACTGATTGTCAGCATGAGAATGGGCATTTCTGTGACTCACCCATTATACTGTCTGTCCCGTTGGCAGGAGGCGTACAAGAAGAGGTGCTGTAATGGTTTGTACCACTACGATGGAAAGTGGACATCGGAGGAAGACTGGAGTTGATGTCTGCTGAGGAGTGTGATGGATAGCTCTAGAGCAAGAAGCAGAAAAAGGAGGCCATATTCAATCATAAGATATTTGGTGAGTTGGTTTTCTGATACTTCTTTCAGAACTCTCTATTTAGCAATAGAGACAGCTTTTAGAACATCAAAACACCCAAGAATACATCTTGCTTAGATCTGCCAGCTTTCGTTTTTTGGAATAATAACATACATAGATACACAGTCAGTTTAGGTTTGCATCAAATGTAGAGAAACATAATAGCATAGCAGGACACCGAGAAAAGACCACCATCTCTGAATCTACAAATTACTGCTTAAAATCATCCCTGAGATTTCAGCAACATAAAAGACCATCCCTACTATTATTTTTTTGTATGGCCTATTGATCAAGTGAAAAAATATTGCACTATATAATGAATAAAGCAACGTTGTGATCCACAGGGTTTACACTACACTTCATCCTAATCTTGTGGACACTAAATAGCAAAGAGTAACCGGTCTCAAATCTTCTTTCTGCCAAACTGGATCATCGTTCTGAACCACAGCAGCAAGAACAAAACGGTAAGTGAAAAAATTTAGAAAGCACTAATGATTAAAATATCTCTCTAAAGCATCTATGTAAAGCCTTAAATCAGTGGCTATACTGAATTAAATTAGAACCAAATGAACTGAGAGTAACTTATTTTGATTCGCGTTTTCTCCACAAGTCATCACCATTAGCAGGCCATCGTATAGCGGGCTATGGAAGAAAAACAGCTATACTGAATTAAATTAGAACCAAATGAACTGAGAGTAACTTATTTTGATTCGAGTTTTCTCCACAAGTCATCACCATTAGCAGGCCATCGTATAGCGGGCTATGGAAGAAAAACAACATCTTTACAGAATCATTTGGTTTAAGCTTCAGCCTTGAGTTCAGTTACTATACTGTTGTCCAAATAAGCTACTTTTCATGGGATCATATCACAGTGCCTATAAGGTGGCAAATTAGTTGCTATCCACCCATGTGTCTGGGAAGAGCAGATCACTAAAAGGGATACGGTTACTTACAAAGACATACTGATCTAGTTTCCTTTTCGAGATAAAAAGTAGCTTCAAAAGTTGTTCTCAAAGGCATCTGAATGTGTTACAGATATGTAAAGAAAAAATATTTAAGTTAACCTCATATGTAATCTTAATGGGCTATGGATCTTTATTTTTATTATATCATTATTAGAGATTCTACTGAAATTAAATTTAAAATTAGAGACTGAATATGATGCTGATAGTCAGGGATGTTTAAAACCCAAGCATTTGTTTATTAGGAGCAAAACAATGGTCCCTTGGTGTTCCCTTATTTATTTTGTGAAAATTATCTTGACTTCTATCTCTTCCTTGAAGATTTCCTTACTACTTCCAACTCTTTCACCATCTCGTCTCTCTGAGTCCCCAGTGCACTGGCCTTCTGCACTGTGCCATTTAACACTTCATTCTATGCTACCTCTCACTGCTTGCTTTTCCAGGTGCATTTCTTCTATACTTTCAACTCTTTAAGAGGAGGGGATAGAGCTCATATCTCTACATTCTACAACTTGTGGCTGAATACTAAACACATAATTACACCCTATGTTCAAAGAACAACTGCTCATCAGTTAGACTTCAATAAATTGTGGAATGAAATATGACTTATTTAAGAGACAACTAAACAGTCTGGGAATTGAAACTACATTTCAGAGCTAGGTCTGCCAATGACATGTAGATGTCTTTGAAAACATTACCTCTGTACACCCAGAATAGTCCAACTTAAGAGACTTCAGTGAAAGAGTTGAGATGATATATTTGATTCGTTCCAAGTTCCCAAGAATGCCTTTCAAACTTTTTAATTTCATGGACCGCTTTCCTTAACCAAAAAATTCCTTAAGCCACCTATTAACCTCATTTCTACTTGTCACTTAGAATAGCCCAAGTAGTCCACGACATTTTCTCCAAAGAATAATAGAGTGGGCCCATTCCATAGTACAGCTAATCTGAAAGACTGGATAAGCCATGGAACACCAAACTCAGAAGAGCAAGGATAGAGCTATTTCTGCTACAGAGCTAAAAAATATTATAAAATAAAAGAAAGAGAATGCGGAAAAAGAAAAATCAAAGAAAAAGAGATGGTCTGACTTCACTTGTACACAGTCCTATTCCACGCTGAGTGTCTGAAGAATAAACTATAAATTAGTCCAAAGTATGCAAAAATCAAAAAGAGGAAAACAATTATAAAAAAACATTTAAGTAATTATAATAATCAGAAGATGAGACAGGAAAAAGATAATCAACAGTGAGAATTTTTGGACCCTTTTAACTTTATGTAAAATGAGCAGTAATTCAGGATTTCACAGACAGAAGGGTAACACTGAGTTCCAAGAATAAAAGAAAATTTAATCCCTGTAGGTTTTAATGGGGAAATCAATACAATCCATACAAAACAGTTATTTTTAGATACTCGTAGAAAATCAGATGCTGAAAAAAGTTTGTGGGATTTATAACCAGATTATTTTACAATGAAAAGTATCTTAAAAACTACTATCACTCAGAGACATAATGAACATACCACAGAGAATATCAGTGATATGTGAATGATGTCTCTTTTAGAGGATTTAGTGATCAACTGTAAGAGGTCCTTTTAGTCCCTTACTCCAGCTATTACTGTCACCCCTGCTTGCTACAAAGGGACAAGGAGAGTTATGAAGTGTTTTACATGCCCACAATTAGTTTATTTACTTTTAGTTATGATACACAGTGATAGTGTATTTAGAGTCTATTAACAGTAAGTGTTGGAAATGTTTGCATTAGTGATGTTTGTATTGACCTATGGGTTGGTGATTTAAAGATTAGAAAAATATAATAATTGGTAGTACATACTAAGAATAAGAACACGCTTTGGGCTAAGGCAGAGTTTCATAGCCTTGGCACACCGATCTTTTGTGCTAGATAATTCTTTGCTGTGGGGGTTCTCCTGAGCATTGATACTGTATTTACCAGTATGCCTGGCCCCTACACACTAGATTCCAGAAGCACCTACCTGCTAGTCGTAACAATAAAAATGTCTCCAGACATTGCCAAATACTTCTGAGGGCAAAATCACCCTGTTTGAGAAGTACTGGGATAAGGGGTTATGAAAAAATAAAAGTCAACAGAACTTTCTTTATACTAACATTCTAAACTCCTGGGACTATTTCACTCTGTAGTGCAAAAACCACGCCCAAATCATGCCAGCCAGTGAGGACTCTTCTTATTTTTAAGAAGAACCCTGCCAAGTCATTCCAAACTTAAATCTTCTACAACAACCTATTCCAAAGCCTAACCACAAACTCCATTCACCTGGGTGATTTTGTGCATGTATCTGTAACATAGTAGTGATTAGCTGAGGGATTCTGTTGTAGAGGCTGAAAATGTAAAGGGGATTTAAAAAGACTTAAAACTGGTGACCGGTGCTACTGAAATATGTGGATTTTAGGCTTTATAATTACACATTCTCTTATAACATGGTATAAAGCAATAAAGGCAACAACATTTCTAAAATGTTTCACCATTAGAGATAATGCTAACTTGGCCAAATTATACCCAAAATAATCCAGGGAAAGCTCTCTTCTTTTTCTTAAATTAACCCCTTTGTTCAGTATGGGCCTAGCCAAATGCTAAGAACTAAAATTGTGAAGAACTACCATTATTTTCAAGTGAAAGGACACTGACTGCCACTGTATATTCAGATCACTCTCCATCACTGTCAGATTCTTCCAAGTCACTTCAGTGAGAAATTTTCAGATAGTTAAATACTGAAATTACAATGGTAACTAAATGTAAAATTCAATAGTTTAATTATCAATTGGGAAATTCATTAGGATGCATTATCAGGGAGCTTATTCATTTACCATTTAAAACAAAGACCCTATTCTATGAAATTTGCTATCTGAACATAGTAAGAATAAAAACCCTGTGTTTGGTGATAGATTAATGACATTTACACATATGGCTTCTGATGTAGCCTATTGGATTGCTTCTTTAAAATGATCTTTCTCCCTGGTTAGTAATATTGTTTTGGTTCAGCAAAACTTTTTCTAAAAGGTCTATAGTTGGTTTCCATTTTGAAATTATACTTTTTGGGCATTTGAGCACATAACAAAGATATGCCCGCACGTAGTAGACTTGACTGGGATAAAATCAAATCACCTAGCTCAAAATTCTACAGCATAATAGGTAAAGAAAGAAAGAAATATAGGAGGGAAGAAAAATAAACCTCAAATGAACAACTCTTAAAAGGATTAATATTCCAGCATATTAGAATAGAGCCAAAAATTTTTATTTGTAATCAAAACTTTCCTTGCTCATAGGACACTTGTAGTTTTGATGACGAGTTCCTAGAGAAGTGAAAAATGATGGTGGAGAAATAAAAAAGTTAACCAAAAGAAATTCTAATATAATAAAGTTGTTATTCCTCTAAGCATTCACTCTAAGATCTCCAAGTAGAAGGCAGAAGAGGAAATTTGAAGGTAAGTCACTTGCTATTTACTGAAAATGTGCTGAAATTTGAGATAGTTTGTGATTTACACATTCAAACTTAGGAGATGATACAAAAAGGTCAATTCTATCTCTACCCTTTGTCTCTCAGGAATGTATAGGCAAACTGACTATATAGTGTCTATGTCACTAGGACTAAATAAATATGTATTTTCAAGAATATCAGAAATCTAGGGCCGGCCCGGTGGCGCACTGGAGAGTGCGCCGCTTGGGAGTGCGGCGGCGCTCCCGCTGAGGGTTCGGATCCCATGTGGAGACCGGTTCCCGCTCACTGGCTGAGCGTGGTGCGGGCGCAACACCGAGGGTTGCGATCCCGTTGCCGGTCCCCGGTACGGGC